AGAGTCCTACTGAGCTCACATTCTGTGAATGGAATGGGTAGGGAGGATTAGTGCAGCCTTTGGTGGTAGCTACAGATGCTAAAGCCCCTGAGAACCTCCTTCACTGCGTTCCCTAATGTCCAGCTTCTGCCACTGCTGGGGGTACCCGGGACCTGGCCTTGCTAGTGGTAGCCACACAGGGCTGTGAGGCTCAGCTGATCATCACTGGGTGAGGAAGTGTCAGGGTCACTGTAGATCTGAGTCAGGGCTAAGCTTAGGATTTCTTTCTTTTCTTTGTAAAACCGGAGTTCTTGTCCTGCTTTCCTGGCTTCTTCCAACTGCCTCAGGGCCATTCGCAGCTCTTGAGAGAGAATTCCTGGTGTCTCCCGCTCCTTCATGATCCAGTCCAGGGCCATGTGACTGCGCATCTTTTCGTCTAGGGAATACTGGGAATAGTAGGAGATGACTTCCTGGGAGCCAACAGATAAAGTCCAGAGTGTCAGGAAAGAGCAACACTGGCCCCTGCACACATCGCCTCCCCTGCTCCCTACATGTGCCAGGGCTTTATCAACAACCCAACCTCTCTGATGTTCAAAACCTGAAACCAAACCCACTAGGAATACTTCTTAAGAGGAAACAAAGGGCTAAGCTGGTCCAGCAAAGCAAGTCACTCCAGATAGAATTAAAATACACTACCAGGAATGACTCAATAATGTTCACAAAACAAAACTCTGCCTTTGCTAGAAAATACAAGAATTTCTTTGAAAATACATTCCTATAACAAACAATTGATATGACTATTACCTCATTTTTTTGTTGAACCCTCCTGCCCAGCATTATCTCCTTTGGCAAGATGGAGAGAGGGAAATAGCTCTACAGAGGAATTTGGGTAGAATGGGATTTGGTCGCACGCATTGCCAGAAAGCAGGAAGCTTTTAGTCAAGGGCACCTCAGATTAAGACTTAGAATCCAGGAAAGTCAACTGTGCTGTTAGCACAGGAAAATGATATTCCAAATGTCTCACAGTAACTACAGAAAAAACTTTAGAAATGTATTATGAAAAGGTATTTGCACCCCCATGTTTATTGCAGCACCATTCACATTAGCAAAGATATGGAATCCACTTAAGTGTCCATCAATGGATGAATGGATAAAGGAAATGTGGTATAAATACACAATGGAATACTATTTGGCCATTAAAAAGGATGAAATCATATTATTTGTGGCAAAATGGATAGAACTGGAGGTGATTATGTTAAGTTACATAAACCAGGCACAGAAAGACAAGTATCACATGTTCTCACTCATACGTGGGAGCTAAATAAATTGATGTCATGCAGATAGAGAGAAGAATGATAGCTACCAGAGGCTAGGAAGGGTGTGTGGGTGGGAGGGGGGATGAAGACAGGTTGGTCAACGTGTACAAACATATAGTTAGATAGAAGGAATAAGTTCTAGTGTTCCATATCAGAGTAGGGTGACTACCGTTAGCAATGATGTATTGTATATTTCAAAATAGCTACAAGAAAGGACTTGAAATGTTCCCAATATATAGAATGATAAATACTCAAGGTGATGGAGTCTTAAGCATGTAACAAAATATCACACGTGCCCCATAAATATGTACAAATATTATGTATCAATAAAAAATAAAAGGTAAAAAAAGAAATGTATCATGGAATATAGGCATTATCATTATTGATATCGTAATAATACCTTCATGGTACATTTTCTCTTACTTTTGAAAACAATTAAAAATTAATCATTACCTGTCAATTCTTGTGTGAAAATTTGCCAGTTCATAGTAATGCCATGGATAGGTTTGATTGTATAGAGTAGATACGTTGCTTATTTTTATTTTCAAGAACATATGGTATTTATTTATGACCTTAACAAATTAAAAACAATCATGGAAGAGTGTTTATAGCCAACCCAGCATATTTCAAAGGCCTTTTGTAAAATCAAAGGAAAAGAAAAAAAAATAGCCAAAGTCGTTGTTGGCTACTCATTTCTTTTCCATCTTTCACATTTTGAAAGCTAGACTTTCTAAGCAAAGAACAACTAAAAACTCCTGGGGCTGCAGTGCACGAAAAACTCCTTATATCCACCCTCATCTTGCTGACTAGTAAAACCTTTGTTCCTCACACAAATTCCTGTTAGGAAATTCTCAAAAATAAACAGCCGTCTTTCAAATTCTAACAGTTGAGTAAAGGAAGGGTAAATGTTGGCGTGCAGCAGGTGGAACTGTTATATACGTGGGGAGGGGGTGACAGGGGCTGTTTTAAAAGAGGGGGAAGGGTGCTTCTCATAAGTGACAAAGAAATAGTGAGAATGTATTACTGAAAAATGCAGAAACTTCTAAACCAAAAAATTGGGGTGATTGAATGCCAACTTGTGAACCTTTATAATCAATTCTGTTGTCCACTGGGGACAATTGGTGGGGGTAGGAAATATTGTTCTGCTACAACCAATTTGGCCACTCTCCAGGGAGGTTTCAGAAGCAGTGCAGCGTCACGTTCCTGCCTCGGGAGGTGGATGAGGGCACAAATTCCAAGCAGGCAGGGGAGGTGTGTAGGGCTGATTTCACATTTGACTTAGAAACTGAGTCTGTCTTAATGATTCCTTCATTCTGCAATCGGTAGAGGTATCTAAATCAGCCCTATGCCCAGCCAACATTCTTCTCAATGTGTATATTTGGTCAGTCCCTGACTCAACTGGAGTGTTACATATATTTTTTCATGTGTCCTCTGCTCTTAATAAATAAGATACCAAATTTAAATGGAGAAAAATCTGAATAAAGGAAATCTAGGAAGGTGATAAGCCATCTGTTTAGTTTATACAACATGAACCTGGTCTTGATTGGAAAATCTCACCTGTCGGGAACACTTTGTTTCACGAAGGGCTTTTAGGCTTCCATTCCAGTGCAGTAGTTGGAAAATGGTCATCAGCTCCTACAAAACCCAAACACCTGTCAATGGTCTTGAAGCAGAAATGTACATCGGGAAGAGCTGAGCAGGGCGTTACTCTGATCTCCAAATGTATCAGGGAAACAGAATACACAACATTGTCAGAACACTTTGGGGCTTTTAAAAGACCAGAGTCCCCAGGCTTCCAGAACATCTTCCTTCCCTCTCCTCCTATATCTATACTTACATAATAACATGACTAAATAATTGACAAACATCTTTCAACATTAAAACTAATATATTCTAACAATTCTACACCCAAGAAGTTACTGAAATATACTAATACATATGAGAAATAATATATAGGCAAGGTTATACACTGTATAGTTTTTTGAAATTGCCTGAGACTGGGAACATTTTAAATGTTCATTTTCTAGAGGAATGGTTAATTAAAGCAGGATATACCCATGCTACTGAATACTTTGCCATCATAAAGAAAGGATGAGAACACTAAGTTCTAATATAAAGAATACTATGATACGTTGTTAAAAATAAAATAAAAGCAAGGTGCACATTAGTGTGTATTGTGGAATGCTACTATTTGATTTGAAAAACACAGAAGATCCTTGGCTGGGCG